GGGGGGGGGGGGGGGGGGGGCGGCATGGGAGGGGGGGGGGGGGAGGGAGAGGGGACTTACAGGCCCCGGGGTGGGACATTTTTTATCCTTAAACATTCCCTTCGACTTTAAATATTTTAGCAAATCTCCATCTGTGTAGCCTGAATACTGAGTACATCTGGAAGATTTCCAAATGGGTTCATTTCAAAGCATCCCATTAAAAACCCAAGGATTCAGGTTTTCATTGTCCTGCATGGCTTTGCTGTTGGGGGGGGGGTTCAGAACTTCTGCCCCCTACCGGTGAGGATGCCTCGAGGGGCTCTGCAGCTGTGATTCTCCCTCTGAGGGTAAAGTGGATGGATGTGAACAGGTCAGACTCAGCTTCCCCGGCTCTGTGTGCGATGTGCTCTCCCGGGAATGACACGGGAACGCCTCGGACGGGAAGCCCCCTAGGCATCAGAACATTTACAAAAGCCCAAATCTCTAAAGATAAAAACTCAAACTGCATTGAAAAGAAAGTTTGTTAAGACTCATAAATAATTCTCTGGGGTAGCAGGTGTAGACTTTGCCAGGCGTGCCACCCCTAGCCTCTCCCAGCCTGCCTTCCCCACTGGTATCACTGGGTGAGATCTGAACTAAGAACAGGGGCTCCCCACCTCAGCCAGTACTGACTGAACTATTAACCCCCCTATTTCTTTTTCAGACTGGGAGACAATCACAGAGTAGCAAAGGAGATGCTTACATGGGACCGGTTTGGAAAACTGGCGTGTGGCTCTGTGGTTTCAGACACGAGGACATCCTGATTTTGCCGAGTTCACCATGTCCCTGGATCACCAAGAGAGGGGCTTGTGTTTCACTAGTTTAACCAATCACAGTCTTCATTGTTTTTTTTTTTCTTCTCATTTTCAAACTCGAGGCTTCCGGCTATTGAGCTGGAGATGGTGTTTGGCACAACGGACTAAACCTCTACGCCTGTGATCGGAAGGTCGCTGGTTCAGCCCTCATCATTATTGCTGTTATTATGATCATCCTCATGAAAAAATGAAGATGTGCCCTTACATCGTTCCGTACAACCTTTGCGGATAAGCGTGTCCCTCTGTTCTGTAAAAGACATACACAATAAAATGGGTACCTTACAAATCTGTGCACCTTGACGTTTTAATTAATGTGGTGATGTCGTACAATGAAGACTTTAATTGATTAAATAAGTGAAACGCAAGCCTCTCCCTTGTCGACCCAGGGACATATCAAACTTAGCAAAATCAGGACGTGCTCAGACATCCAACTTGCGATCAGAAGGTCGCTGGTTCAAATCCTACGGTCGGCAAAGTAATTTCCCTTGAGTGGGGCCTTTAACCCCCAGTTGCTTCTGGGACTGACAGGCCCTGCTTTCTCAAATCTGTATCACCTTGCATTACAGCATCTACTAAAGGAGTAAAACTTCTGGTGAATTCTGGTCCATGCTACAGAAGATATGTCCTCTCTGAAGGGCGAATGCAAGTGAGATATGTCATTGATAGAGTCAGAGCAATGGTGACCCTGTTCAATGGTCCCATGTTGTGCTTTTCTTACTTTCCCTGAGTAGTAACACAGCAGCTCAGTGATCTGTCTGGTCGGGGACTCTGAGGCCCCGGAGAAGCTAACAATGCCGACGAAGGGCGACCTGTAATGAACGACCACAAATCCATATTTCACAGGTTCTAATTAGCTTGCTGGCAATCCTGGACTGAGCGGTGAGCCCGTGCCAACGTGAATCACATTGGGTTTGGATTTTAATTAGCACAATAGAGGAACCATCAAAGGAGCTGCAGTCCTTTGAAGAAATAAAACGTCTGGAGCTAAAAAAAAAAAAAAATGTTTATCTGGGAAACTCTGTGGGATATTAAGGAGTTTTGAGGCGAGTGAGAAGTATTCCGAAATGCCGTAAAAGAGCGTTCACCAATTAGGCTGGAAGAAAGGGCTCTGAGTGATCCGGGACGGCCTGTGAGCTTGGCATGAATTGTGCATGAGGGGAGTTCTGCCCCGTCTGACCCCGTGGCTCTGCAGTCCGGTTGGTACCGTCTCAGGTCATCAGCCTGTGCTACTACCCCCCCCAACCCTGGCCACCTCCCACCGCCAGAGTCGAGGGTGCAGAAGGGTCCCAGCCGCAGGAGTGGTCTCATCCACACACACAGCCCCCCCCCCTTCGTTTCTCTTTCTCTTTAAGCACTTTTCTCCTTTGCTCTGCTGCCTGCATGTAAAATGAAGGGGGCTGCCTCTATGCAATGTGTCCCTGTTTTCATTTTCTGTGAAGCCTGATTGCCGACGGCCTGTACCGTCATCACCGTCAAAAGTAAAAACTTCTCAAAGTTTTTGAGTACAGTCCTCAAACGCCGGTATTCCATCTGGTTCTGAGCAGACGGCACTTCGGTCCTGATAAGATGAAGTCACACTTTCCGAGGCTTGTTGAAAGATCGAGTCACGCTTCACCGGAAATCACGAATCCGGCAGCTCATCAACCCACGTGTCTGAGGGACTCTCAAGCGAAAGCGTTTGGGCTCATTTTATTCCTGCTGCTGAGGAAGCCATATGCCAAAGATGGTGATGTGTGATTAACAGGAGGATGAGGGGGGGGGGGTGCTGCTGTTCCCTACGCGGCTTTCCCTCCCCCTGATCACTGAGACGGACACACCACGGCCGAGGTGGGTCTCTGGGGAAGGGAGGGATGTGCAGAGCCGGACAGAGAGGGAGAGAGAGGAGGAGAGGCAGAGAAAAGAGAGAGGAAGCAAGAAGGAGAGGGAGAGAGTGGACCTCAAGAGAATGAGAGAGAAAAACAGGCAGGAGAGCAGAGTAAGAGAGAGGAATGTCAAAACACGAGAGAGAGCTGCTGCGATGTTGAGGCATAAGTCTGTCCAAGCAGCAGAAGCTCATTTTCTCTTCTAATAGAACCAAAACACTCAGCAGCCCATTTGGTGGATAAATACTTTCGAGCAAAACCACCAATGAGACAATTTGTGAAAAAAAACAGCTGGTTTTACAAATCCATGAAGCATAAAACAGCAAAGCTGCACAAGCCGCTCAGACAGTACAGATCGATACGGAAGCACAGATGCCCCCCCCGCCCCCCCCCCCGCGGTCCCGCACGCGCCTGTGAAAGCATCCGGCGAATGCCGAGGCGCAGCTGCATCTCGTGCTAATCTCCCGAGCCGGGTGATCATGATGATGGTGCACGTGTTGCCCTTTGGTCCTCAAGCCAGTGATCCATGGTCAGACTGATTGAATCTCCTGTCGCTCTCCACCCCGTACGTGGTCTGGCCCGACTGTGGGCCACAGCTGTTATTCGGAGACCCTGAGCTCCCTAGGGCGCCGTGAGAGGGTGAGCTGGCCTCGGCCCAGGGTCTTTGGAAGGGCGGTTTAGCGGAGCCCCACCAGAGGGCCCTTGAAAGAGTGGCAGCGACCTTGGCACCTCCCACTCAGGCCGACAGCTGACAGCTGCTGCCCTCTCCAAACGCGCAGGGGTTGGCCAGACCAGGCACATCTTGATTGGCCAACATGCCGATTATTAATGAGGTCGCTGCAGCGGCACCACGGACAGTACTAACGCATCACAAAGGATTTTTGTGTTACTCCAGAGGGTAGGATGTTGAACGGGACTTCTGGGACAAATCAAAGACAGCTGTCACTTATCGCAATTATTCTTAACATCAACTCTTTTCCCAAAACCCGCCGAAATTCTGGAGCACGACGCCCGGTCCTGGTCCACCCCCAAGACCCGACCCACACCTTCCATGACCTTCCCCATTTCCTCATTTTTCTGACCATAACACCCAAGCAGCATTCCTTCTTTCACCACAATGACTTTGTTCACTGGCCCCATAGAAGCACAGAGCTTTTATCATAAGTTATAATGACAAATGTCAGCTGATTGAACCAAATACAACAAACTGAACAAAAATACCAGCAAATACAGGGATTATAGGGTTCCAGACATCAAATGTACTCACCGCCCTGTGATAAATTAAAGCTAATAAAACTTGGTTAAGTGCGGTTCACAGGTGTTTCTTGTAATAGCCCCATGCTTACTGCACTCTAGAGCATCCTGGAGGGAATCTATTAACCATTAACACTGGGCACCCAGCAGCCCTTAATCTGTGACATCACGTTTACTTCTCCACAGTCTTCAGAATAAAACGATACCGAATATCAGCCTTGTTCAGGAACTCCTATATGACGAGGAGATATCCGTTTTGGGAATGTGTGGAAAATAACAGACATCGATGAGTCAGGTTAACTAGGCGTCTCCCTGCCAGACCTTTTCCTGTAAATAATTTGTTCTGGGGTTGTTCGTTAAGCAAATCTATGAAGGAAAGGCTTAAATAGCCAGAAAAAAATAGCTCATTACAGAGAGTAACGAATATACAGCCACAAACTGTATAGATCATAGATCTCTCATTTAGTATTTGGAAATTCAAGGAACATCTGGTGAGCTGGTGAAATCATAGAGCTGGTAAGTTTAACAGATTAACTATTTCCTAGGGATCTGTGCTGGCAATCAGAGGGTTGCCAGTTTGAATCCCATGAATCCCATGAATGGGTTGTTGTGTGGTGGGTGCAGCAACATGCTGTTTCAGCGCATGCACCTTACTTCTACCTCCCCATCTCCTGTGATGTCATCTTCGAGTCAAGGCCGCCGTCTCCTGTTGTGGGGTCGTGCTTCTCATAGAGGACAGGAGAAGGAGAAGGAGTCGCGGAGAGGCACGGCAGTCAGATGCGGAGCCCTCGTTAGCACTGCCGCTGGCCAGCCCTCGCACCAGCTGTCCAGAAGGATGCCGTGCTGGGCTGGAGGTGAAGCCAGGCAGCCTGATCTTTTAACTGCTGTGTCCATTAACATTCACTGCAAGACTCCAAAGGCTCTCTATGGATGGACATGCCCGGGGGCAGGAAACTGTACACACACGCTTCGCTTCAGGTCATCTTTAGCCTGAGGGTTAAGAGGCTAATGGAGGGTTGATGGGATGGACAGGAGGGAAGGTGGGAAAAGAAGGGGGGCAGGATTGTTCATATGCAGTGAGTTCTCGTTTCGGGCAGCTGATTTCAGATTTCTGCCAGTTTGGATTCATCAGTGAAAGGGACTATAATCCTCATTTGTGTTTAAATTTAATGAAACAAAGCCCTTTGTTTGATTAAACTTGAGAGTTCAGCATCACTCTCCACGCCCTACATGTCTTCCACTCCATGAGAGGATCCACTGAGAATTCCTGAGCATATTGGTGCATTGAAATCCAGTGATACACTAGATGTTCACAGAAGTCCTGGGACACCCTGAATAATGTTTGTATGAGGACAAACAGAGACAGCAGGGACATATTGTTCCTTCATGGTCAGCTGAATAAATGTCTAGCATGTGATTAGCTTCTCCTCCAGGATACCATAAGAGTCTGAGAGAGTCCAGCCCTGACCAAGCTAATCTGCTGGAGAAGGCGGCCTTGGTTCAGATCTGAGTCTGGTGTGTGGTGATACCCAAGCAAGATCTAAAGACTCTTAAAATATGAAAGAAACGTCACGATACAGAGTGAAAAGGTGGGATTCAGCTTCTTGAAGCGCAGTGAAGCATCTCGCCTTCGGTCAAGAGGTATCTCCAATCCCGCGTTTTAATGCGGACGGGAGTCTGCTGCTTTTGGCCTTTTCACTGCTCAGCCTTTGAGGTCTGATGAAAGGAGAAACGGGGCTTAACTCCTGTTTTGAAACACCTGATTACTGAAATCTCGGGGGTGGGGGGGCTTCGGCGTGATCATTTTTTAAATTGATTTTCATCTTGACGGTTCTTACGTGAGGATCACAAAGGATACTGACAGAGTTCTCAATGCAATTAAAACGTAAGGAAGAAGGAAGGGGGGATAATTATAAAGGAGACACAGTTCACGGCTCTTAGTGCAATACAAGATCTAGAGCAATTAAGAAGATGATAAAGTGCAATAATACAAAATAGCATATGGTCTTGCTGATATTTCCGATGAAACCACGGATCATATTTATAAAGCAGAATGTGCTTTGTCCCGAGAATTCTGCTTTTAAATAAAGCATGTTGTGTTTTTTACATAACAGTTATTGTTTCTGAATGTAAGGGCCTTTTGATAACAAAGCCAGTTACTTTTCTGTGACTGCCACGCTAATTTTTCCGTCCATCCATCTTGTTCAGCTGCTTGTCCAAAGTAGGGTCGCAGCAGACATGGAAGCGCACGGAACAAGGTGGTGGACTTCCTGAATGAGATGCCAGTATGACACAGGGGACACACATTACTGGTGATCTAGGGGTGCATGTGTATGGACTGTGGCAGGAGCGTGGAGTCCCTAGACCAAAGCGAGGAGAACATGCAGCATGTCTGGAGGATTATGTCAGATAAGGAAGGGAAGTCTATCGCTGAGTAAATCGCTGTGCATTCAGTATGCAGTGGATAGTTTGTTATTAAATACTGTGGCACAGATGCCCCATGAGGGGTGAGGTTTATTGCAGTAATGAAGGTCCATTCAGGGTGGTTCTTCTTCAGTGTCCACCTGCAGGAAGCTCACATGCACTACGTGCTCCCCATCATCAGTCACCAGCTCACTGGTGCCTCGTGTGGCCGACGGTGAGGAAAACACTGGTTACTACCAGCCTGTGCAGTGATGATCACTGCCTGCTACTGCAGCAGATCCCCAACAGGCCCTCACATAACAAAACACTTTACATTACGTTAGATGATAAAGTTGCTATCCACT